TCCCACACCAGGGCAGCTTTCCTCCGGGTGTTTGTCTGTCTGCCAGACGGGCAGGCCCTTAGCCAACTGCAGGTGTCATCTATTTGACGTCGCCCCACCCCCCTTCTCCCCCCTGCCTGGGGCCGTTGATGATCACAACGGAGGACAAAGGAGCGTCTGTCTTCACCGAGACAAGCAAACATGAACCTCCCGTCAATCTGTCATTTACATGCCCACTTAACAGATTCCAAAACCATATTATATGTAAAACACTGGTATTGACTATGAGCTATTGTTGGGCTTTGTTAGACACAGACAACGTGTGATTTGACACTGATACAGCAGCTGATGAAACATAGTTCACTGTTGAGCAAACAGCATTTCTAGATGTGGATGATGCTGAAAAAACAAGCCTCTGCATCTGGAAAAATATGTTTTCCATGTGTAACAGCAAAACTTACTTTCTAATTGATGCCAATATAAGCTTCAAGGCTCCAAGACAGACTCATTTAGAGAGTCTTTGAGTGAATAACTGATGACACACTGTAAGCATTCAATTAAAATCAAGACAAATACTTTTTTTTTTTTGCAGAGACAATGTTAAGCTTGCATGGACCTGAAACTGACAGAAAAAGATAAGCTACTGCATTTTAAAATATCTTGTTTTCTGATAAAATTCAAAGTCAAGCCTGTGGATATGAAACTTTTGTTTCAAGCCTAAAATTCTGTTGGTGCGTCGCTAAAAGCGAGCTAAAGCTAAGGATTACTTAGTGCAGATAAAACATTCAGCAACATAAAGCTGCATTCATCAATAGAAAAAAATGTTTTTTCAGAGACAATGTTAGGCTTGCATAGACAAGGAACTTAAGTACAAAAGATAAGCAACTGCATTAAAAAATAAATTGTTCTTTGATAAAAGTAAAAGGCACAAGCCTGTAGACATAAAAAAAAAGTTCATTCCCCCTAACAGTGAGCTAAAGCTATAAGGATTACACTGTGTAGATATACAACATTCAGCGACTTAAAGCTGCACTCATCAATATTTTTATATTAAAAATGGATGAAATTACAATGTGTAATGTGAAGGGGGTTGCTCATAATGAGGACCCTTCAAAGAATTATCACCTAGCCCACTGTGCAGTTACCCTCAGATCTATAGAGCATTTTAGCCTCTTAGCTAATAGCTTTCTTTTTCTCAGCCCACAACTTCACTGCTTTGGTTCACTCGCATCAACCTGGCTTTCAGCCACAGGGGGCAGCATTTTTCAGCAAAAGAAAGTTGTCTATCGTTTGGTGCTGGGCGGGTAGCCTAGTGTATCAAAGTTAGCAACTAGCTAGCAGTAGCATTTAACAGGTAAAGAGCGAGATATTTCCCCAAAACAAAGCAAAAAGAAGAATAAGTATCGGACTTAAATTCATCAGATGGCCAAAAACATAGCAACGTAGTACTGACCAATCATGTCTGAATGACAGGTTAGCAGTTTAGTTGGAGAGGCGGAGCCAAATTGCTGAAATGCAATCTCAGAACCCATCGGTTATCGGCTTTTAACCAAGTTTATCTGCACTCATATGCAGTAGGGCTGCAACGATCAGTCAACTATTTGATGACTAATCGACTATTAAAATAATCAGTGACTATTTTAGTAGTCGACTAATCGGTTTGAGTCATTTTTCATAGAAAAGTACTGTAAAAGTACCCAAAATACTCTTATTGCAGCTTCTTACGTTCAAATATTGGCAGCTTTACACACTCTCCCATGACGGTGAACTAAAACTCTTTGGCGTGAGTTCGAAACAAGACATTAGATGACATAATTTTGGGGTTTGGGGGAGACAGACCGACACTTTTCAACATTTTAACACGTTTTTCAATAAAATGATTAGTCGACAATGAAAATAATCGTTAGTTGCAGCCCTAATATGCAGATAAGCTTATCTGTTTACAGAGATTAGTCAAAGTGACCAGTGCATGGAACAGGAAGTCTTGGCCAGTTATCCACTGGCAAAGGATTAGCCCTAATTATTGGCTCCTGCTCTCCAAGGCTTTATCATCATCTGACAATAGCTGATGGGTTCTAAGATTAACCCCAAAGGCCCTGATCACATGGAAAGCATTTTAGAAGCTGGTGGTGGCTTTTTGTAGTTGTTTTTAATGAGACTGAAGATATTGGGAGGAAAAAAGAAGAAATTGCCCGCATTTTTTGCCTGAGCACTCTGAACTTTCCCATTGTCCAGTCAGATGATTTGAGAGGCGGGCCTTCTGTGGCGGTCACAACAACAAGTTGGTAAACAATGGAGGAGAAACTGGTGGTAGCGGTTGCTGGAAACCCGACAATAGACAGCAGGTTGTCAAACTGCCCCTGAGTCATCCTAAAATATGCCTGGAAACAGCCATCACTGAGACAAAGCTCCTGGACCAACTGGTGGTACTCCCCGTGATCCAACCTCTTTTTCAGGGTCTCATGTACCCACATAGGTCTCTGTTTCCCTGTGTCCAACAAACTATTTACTGACAGCCTCTCACCCTCAACCAGAGCTACAGCAAGTACCCTCTGCCTCAACATTTTAGGAACTAGATAATTGCTGTCAAATAACTAAAATAAACAAATAGTAGATTGATTACATGGGAAGATTACATGGTTGCTCTGCGCTCTGCCACATGTTTTTATGTCTACATCATGACTGCGTTTGTGGGTGGGTGGGTGTGTGTGTGGGTCGGTGTGTCTGGCGGGGTGTGGGTGGCTGGGGGGTGGATGGGAGGGGCATTTCTTCTAACCATGTAAAGCACTTTGTGCTACATTTTTGTATGAAAAGTGCTTTATAAATGATTGAATGATTGAATGATTGATTGAATGAATGAGTGATTGATTGATTGATTGATTGATTGATTGATTGATTGAATAAGGAGGAGCAAGCGTTTTTGTTTTGTTTTTTCTCTAGTGGCATTCAAATAAAGAAATTAAAATTAGAGGGCAAAAAATTTCCATTACTGCTTTAAATCACTATAATAATGAAGTGTTCTGAATTTGCTAAAAACAAACAAAAACTACTGATACTGACAGACATCCTTTCCACAGCAAATAGGCTCAAGGGTGTTGTAATAGTCAGACTGGAAAACATAATTTCTCAAAGAATGATGTTGAAGTATTTATATAACTGATGACCACAACATAAATCTATAGTACTGTTTGGGGAACACAGAGTTTACCATTCAAAGAAAACTTTTAAATGGGGATTTTTTGGGATACATAATGCCAGAGGCAGCTCTTCTTTCCCACTACACTCTAATGTCAGGACAAATATGGGTATTATGTGAAATGTTCTGACTATAACGGCTTTGGTATTTTCCCAGAGGTGTCTTTGTCTTTTGTTATTTCATCCCATGCCCAGATCACATGTTCTCAGATGAAAAAAAAGTGTCTTCAGTGAACAAGGATCTGATGGATGAGTCATGAATCTGAGTCAGCGAGAGATGGTCCATATGGCCTGAAACTGCTCGCAGCCATATGGACTGTCTCTCTGCTTTTCTCTCTTTCTCTGGATGATCAATCATCATCAGAGTCTACAAGAACATCGTCTCCACTCAGTTTCACAGCAGCCAGAGCCAACTGAACAAATGAAGCAAAATTAGTCAATCTATGATTTTTTTCTCATCGACATCCAAGGAATTACAGCAACATCAACAATTCTCTGGCGCGGCCGGCAGCAGGCCACAATTTCCCCAAACAATACAGTCAACATTTATGCAACGGAGTCGAGAAGACTAGCCAATGCACACAGAAATCCAACAGAAACATGGAGTGAAGGGTAATACATCACAACATAAAATACTGCAGCTTTAGATCTGGTTCAACTCACATGGGGACTTGATGATCGCTTGTGGCACTGCCCAGGATCAGTCAGACAAAAGTGTTGAAAGACACAGGAACAAATTCTCCAGTGACTTTTGTTTTATCAACCTGTCTACCTAATTAGAAAAATATTCCTTGTGATCTTGAACACAACTGAGCTGCATTACAAACCCACAGAACTTCTCTTTAGCTTCTAGTAAAGGTCCCAAAGTTTTCAAAGACACAAAATGTGTCCTGATGGAATTAAGAGGGATTCTGGGGTTGAATCAGTGACCAGCTAACATTTCCACACAAAAAACATCCCCTGAGTTCATTAAAAGAAATACAGTTTGGCTCATCTGGCCAATCTGAGATTCAGCTTTTCAAACACCTGCTTTGGGTCTGGAAGCAAGCCTAAAAAGTTACACTGTACTAATGTATGGCGGAAAAACTTTCCCCATACTTCCCCTCTCCTGTCCCCTTTGGGTTTGATATCTTTATTTTGTACTTTGCTATAATGTCAATATTTGGCTCTCTTTTCACTGACTCCTGCACTTCTTACTCTACAGTTCCTCTGGCCAGTGTCAGAAATCTACCATGGAGAGCACTGTATCTCTTTAGTCCCTCTCTTCTGCCCCTGCAGGGCACTGACTTCACTTATGAAAACATGACTTCCCAGCTGTTTGTTTTCCAGAGTCTTCTCACGAGGAGGAGAAAGCTGAACTCAGCCAGTCAGCAACAAAAGACACTTCAGACGAGGCCTCAACAGTAGAGATGTTTTGCTCCCTCTGGCTTGTATTTTGGCTTGGCCCTCATTCCAAGGACTTGCACAACAAAACCCGAACATTGCTGCTGTCTTTTTGCAAGATTCCAAGAAGAAATTGATATTGATCTCCTGATAACTCCCAGTCAAAGCTGGGTATCACTGGTAAATCTTTCTTTAGTAGTGCTAAAACCTGAGTTTCAGTACTGATTCCAGAACAAAACTTCTTGGGCAATTTACATCAAGAAGTATAAACATTTTTCGTTGACAAAAGAAGCCAAAGTTGTCAAAGGATAATATGTTTCAAACACAAGCAGCCGTACAAGAGACAGGTGTAACATTGGCAATCTTTTGATTTAAATCAGTAATTATCTAATAGAAGTTTTCAGTTTTCAAAACTCAATACAGGGTGGTTAGTGCATACTCACAGATATAGTAATACTCTCTTCCAGGGCGAAACTCGAAGCCTAAAGAGAATGGAGTAAAGAGCTGGAACTTCTCCGAGAACTTCAGCGGTCCGTTCGGCGACAGAGGCCTGTTGCACTCCCAGCGTTTGAAGCCCTTCGCAGTGTGGTCGCAGGAGCTGTAGCCGTCGTAGTTCACCATGTAGAGGACGTAGCGTTCGGCCCGCTCGTCTGAAACCGGGCCTATGTAGTGTGGACAGTAGACGTCAAGGTAGTCGTTGATGCAGACGTCGATGTGGTAATCACCCCGGTAAAACCTGGAGGAGAAAGGGAGAAAAAGAAATGTGAATAAAGCGGGTTGTGCAGAGGGTCTCACGCAAGTAAAGTCTAAAGTTATTTTTGTCAGGGACCCCATGAAGTTCTTGACCACTAGTAGTGCTATGGACAGCCTGCACCCCAGAAGAATTTGTTGGCATTGTACGTTTTGGCAAACCAGGGACATGTTACATCTCTTTTTGTTATATGTATTATATCAATGTTTCTATAATGACGTAGTTCTGATTACATGTATATGAGCTAGCTTTGTTATCGGGAGGGGATGGTAGATGGTGTGACACGTTGATGAGACGGCTGCCAAACTGCAAACCACTGTTTGATACTAAAAACCACCAAACTAACTGTTCATTAATGAGACATCCTAGTGTTTGCAGTGACATTTTTGCCACCAAACGTTGTTTTTTTAGCGGGGCAGCTGTGGCTCAGAATTAGAGCAGGTCGTCCCCTAATCGGAAGATCGGCAGCTCAATCCCTGGCTCCTTTAGTCCACTGGTCAAAGTATCCTTGGACAAGATATGAACCTCAAATTGCTCCTGATGACTGTTCCATCGGTGTGTGAGTGCGTGTGAATGGTTACTGAGTAGCAGGTGGCATCTTGTACGGTAGCCTCGGCCACCAGTGTGAATGGGTGAATGTGACATGTAGTGTAAAAGCGCTTTGAGTGGTCGGAAGACTAGGAAAGCGCAGTACAAGTGCAGTCCACTTACATCATGGCATATCCACCAGCATTTGTGCGACTGAACTAGGGTCGACCCAAAAAAAAAGCTTCGAAGCTTCGTTCAATGGCACGGGATTCGATTGTGAAAAAAAGAATTTGAAGCTTGGGCGCTTTTTTTTTTCTCGTTTTCTTGAGGGAGGCCTTAAGCGCAACACTAACCCCCACCAGTCCGATACTGACAACGAGCGCACTCAGAGCTGGCAGACATGTCCAAGAGGTCATCAGATGTGTGGTTGCACTTTAAAATATGCCCTGACAACACCCAGAAAGCAGATTGCCAGATTTGCCAAAAGCAATTGGCATATCACAACTCAACCACCAAAAGGCAGGAAAGAAGAAGATTGCTTGCAAGGTTGACGTATGAAAACAATGCAGGTTTCAAAACAAACAGAAAATTGGCTTCACATGTTTTGAGGAAAGAAATGCATTCACATTTGTTTGACCAAAGGGATACACACAATGTGTTTTGTTGCCTTGAAATGCACATCAATAAAATTATGTTTGCATTTACACCACCGAAGCATGTTAGCACTTGTGCTTACATGACTGGATTTAATTATGTTTATAACACACCGCGAGGCCAGTTTTCTGTGTGCCAGCAAAAATACTAACATGATTAATCTATTATTTTTGGTAAGGTGATTGTTCTACATGTTTATGTATGCAATGATAATTCCCACAATTGCACCACACAACACCATGCAATCCCTGATCTTGACCTTTTAATGATTTATTCGCCCAATGAAAATAAGCTGAGCACGCATGTTCTTTCTGCTGCAGCCTGCTTTGTCTTTTGTGGACATCTAACATTCAGATCCCCTGAAGCAGTGCTTTGCTCAAGGGTTCTTCGATAGCAGCTGTTTAAGTGGGAGGATAGTTACTCATTGATTTGTTTGGGGAGTCTCTCCCCATCATGTGCCTTGATGATGCATTCTCCAAAGAGTTCCGAGTGCTCCAACACCTGATGACAAGAGCTGATACTTTAGGTATCTTAGTGAGGCTACAGCTGAAGAAAAAGTTCCCCTAAGTGCCCAGAAACTGAAGCCGGACTGACGAAGACACATCCAGGCTACGGCTCTGGTTTTGATTGCAGGATCTCATCATGTCAGTCTCAATCATCCCGAGCCTCTTGTGAGACTCCACCGAATCCCCGTGCAACACTCCCGCCCCGGCAGAAACCCCTTACGACACACGCTAGTCAGTCCTAAGCCATATATCAATGTTGGTGCTCAGCAGCGATGACTTATGCTGGTGCTGAAATTAAAGTCCCCTAGCGTTACAGGGCTAATCCCCTGGTTAGCATGTGCCTTTAGCAGCTCTAAGAGGATCCCTCCGTAGAATGAGATTTTCATTAGCCCAATATGACAGCTTGATGTAGGAGCCCCTTGTGGAATCTCTGAGTCTGGGAAAATGAGGCCTGTTCTCAAGCCTCGCCTTGAAACAGCCCCAAGATTGTGTGCCTGGTGTTTACTGTAAACCTACTGGACAGGAGAAGAGGGGGAAAAAAGTGCAGTGGCGAGATATGCCAGGTATTCATTCCTGAGGAGAGTGATTGGAAACACATATTCCCATAGGCGCCGTATAAGGTTGCATTTCTGAGGCTTTTAGCGGAGACAGATTAGGCTTGGACGGCCGGCTGGTTGTGTCTCTATAGCTGCTAATGGCCCGCGGTTCAGTATCACTGACATACTGCGGATGTCTTCAATACTCCACCTCTGTTCATTGACACAGTGAGGGCCGTCAGGGGAGACAGGCCAGAGACCGTGTTGTAGCATGCAGCAGGATGATGATCCGATACGGGTGAACTCGCCTGAGCACCGCGGGGGGTTTTACCCTGACGTTTTGCTGGCCACGGATCAGATATTACAACTACTCCTGCTCCTCGGTGATGGAATGGGAGTAGCAGTCAGCTGATCTGAGGCCAGGTGAGACAGGGAGGGAAGGATTGAGACGCAGCTGTTGCCGCTGACATGTACATGTTGGGGATTCGGGAGGCGTGAGTAGCACAAAGGGAGGTGTGTGCTCGCCCTGGCCTGCTGGGGGTATCATGTTGTCGTTACACAGATTGTAAATGTGCTGCAGGATTAGTGGCCGTCCTACTGGGTTTGCAATGGCCACAAATGAGCGGATGCGTGTGTGTATGCGTGATAGCGGGGGTGTCTCATGGCATGGGCAGCCATATTCTAATCTTTTTCTCTCTCTAATTATAGTCTGGTCAAACGTGAAACCGAAGCCCTTGTTTTCTCTCCCAGCTTTCTCTTTTTTCCCCCTTCAGCACCAGCTGAGCGCTTTGGCTCCAGGCAGGCACAGCATGGCCTCCTTTAGCCTCTAGTTTCAGAGCCGCTCGCTGATATTATGACTACCAGGGGTCAACCGGCTCCACAGTGTCATGTCCTCACCCAGAAGCACTGTGGGGTAGCCTGCTTTGTCCTCTCGTGTCTCTGCTAAGCTTTAAATGGTAGTTTCAACCTTGTGAGTGTCAGTGGCTGTCAATCAGAGCTGACCCAGAAGTAACAGTTAAGATTAGGCAGGATTAAGAAGAGTTTGTAACTAAAGCCTTTGTGAGAGAGAGGTGGGAAAAGTTTGTTGAGGAGTGATGAGAGATGAGGACCCTGTTCAGACCGGAGTTCTTGTATTCAGATCAAAACGCACCTCAGAATTAGTCTCAAGTGACCACTCCTGATTTCCCTTCTGCACAGAATACAAATACATTAGTTTAGTAAGTTTATTTATTTATTTATTAAGTTTCCCAGTCTTTGTTGTTTTTGATATTGAAACTACTTCCTGCCAAAGAAAAAAATTCTATAAAAATGGCTGACACTGAGTTCTGGGGATTATTCAGAGAAGTGGGGATGCTTTTCATGATAGCTGCTCCTGAATTATAATTTTACCATCTTTTGAGCACCACAAACGAAATTCCATTCACCTCCACAGTAGTGGGCTGGAGTCCCAAAGATAGATGGATGGATCTACATGGCTGGATACCACTACTGCCCCATTTCACCCAAAGTTCTTGAACTGGTTCCATTCAGGACTCTTTGAACCTTGGTGCTATCTTTTAATGATGATTTCTCACTTAAGGTCTCTATTGTTGCCTTCTCCGTCCCTTCTTTCCAGAATATGACATGGCCGCAGATGTCATCACAGTTCGCACTTCAGGTCAAAGAAAACCTGCTACTTTATTTGTTTGAGCTCGTAACCAACTTTTGGGTTCTGAACTAATTTATTTTTGGCTGAAATGCTCCGAACGGTTCGAAATTAGGTGCAAGGACCACAACAGAACCTGTTCCATGTTGGTGGAAAAGGAGTATACAAGTAAGGAGTAATAGAATCAGAAATACTTAAGTGATCCCCGAGGGGAAATTGTAATTCGTTACCGTCACTCTGATGTAAAGAATAGAGAATTTTAAGATGTCAGAATAAAAGTATGAAATAGAAGTATGTCAATATAAAGCAATAAAATGAAAAATAATAAAATAAAAAATAAAATTAAAAAATGAAATGAGAAAATAAAACAAAACAAATTAAATAAATAAATAAAATAAGATAAAATAAAATAAATAATAAATAAATAAATAAAATAAAAATCAATACAAAATAAAATATAAATAACACAAAATTAAATAAATTAAAAAATAAAATAAAATTTAAAAATGACAGAAACATAGATAAAGAAATAGAAACTTAAATAGGACAGGGATCAGATGAGGCAACAAGAATGATTTTCAGAGGCCACCGCACCTGTTGCATTACGATCTTTTACAAAATTCAGTTTTCTTGCAAAACTAGTTTCTGCATGCAATGCATTTGTCACTTCGCCAATAAAACCCACAGCATTACAGTAAATACCGCCATAATTTCCCTGCGACATACAAATCACATCTTGATAGCCCCATGTGACATTGTGTCAGTAAAAAATGTGCCAGTATGACAACAACATAGTTAGACAATATGCTGAAGTCATCAGGATAACTACTGACGGCAGGGAATCACTGCGTGTGACATGACCAAACTTTTAAAGCACAGTTGTTTGTTGAAAGCTGCATTGAAACTTAAGTCATTCTGGAAAGGCGGTCCAAACCTTTCTGGCAAAAAAGATCAAGATAATTTACTACAGGGCACACTGCAAAATAATATAGGAAACGATCTCGAGTGCTTGCACTGCTCTCAATAATTGAAAGATAAGGTATCGCTGATGGCAGCCAGGGACCAGGAGGTGTAGGTGAGGTGTAATGCAACAAAAGAAAAAACAATATACACCTG